ATGTTCCCAGAGTAACCTGACAGTTCAAGTTCCTCCACATCCTCACCACCCTTTGCATTTTTCTCTCTGATAACATGCCTATTCTGGTGGGTGTAAGAGTGAGAAACTAGTTTCAATGTGGACTCTGCTAATGACTTGGGATTGAGTGCACTTTCATGTGCTAAACTTGCTGAGGTTTCTAGGATTTTGATAAGTCACATAACCTTCTCAGTTCCTGAATGACTATTTAAGGTGCTTTGTTAGAAGAAGGATCCAACAGGCAAAATTGCAGAGGGATATGGAACAATGGAAAGATATTAGCGAGGACGATATAGATTTCAGAAAAAAAAAATAGTAAAGACAGATAAAATGGAAATGTCACTAAAAGTGGACAAATATCACAACAAAGCAATTTAGAGAAGGCAAAATGTGGATGAATAAAAGTCACATGAACACATGTTCTGATCCACCTGAGGTGAAAGAAACCACTGTGGAGCCCAGTACGTCTGTGTGGGAGGAGTTGCCTGGAAGGGCAGAGAGCAAAGCAAAAGGGCTTGGGGGATCAGGATGGGAGTGGCAGGAGCTGCCAAAGCCCCTCAGCAGGAAGCCAGGGAGAGGGTTTGGAGATCAGCCAGCCAGGGGCAGTGTCAGGCAAAACCTATAGGTTCCTGTGGATGCCCTAGGATTGTGCAGTTACTTCTGAGTGAGGCATGAAACAACTAATGTTGCAATTTAAAAAATAAAAATAAATTTCCAGCCAGGCTGCAGAGCTTCAGAAGCTCTTACAACTGGGATATTAACGAGGTCAGCCATCCAGCTGGACGTCCCTCAGCACATAGTAACATTAAGTGTGCACCCTCCATGCAGCTAGTCCACTGTGGTTCAGAGATGGAGAGAAATGCGCAGGAGGAAGTCCTCACTGGTCACGTGGTATCGGCAGCAACCTGGCTGCTCAGTACAGGGTTTAAACTAAAATGTAGTTTACACAATGCTGACCCAATGGAAGTAATGGAAATGGTTCATATGCACACGTGGATGAAATTAAATGCTTAAGTCTGAGTTTAAATCTTAGAAAAAATAAAAAATAAACCAGATGAGGCCTAAAGAGGAAAAATTATTTGCTTAAGAAATGGAAACACACTATGAATTCTTTAAATATCTGTAGAGATGATTTGGAAGTTGGAGTGGAACCACATGATTTACACTTGAGTTGGTGACTCAGAGATGGAGGAAAACATGATTTGAAATGGTGATAAAGAAAAATATGAAAGAGAGGCCTTTAGGTGGCTGATGAGAGTGTTAACAGTGTGAGTAAACTCTGTGCTTCTGGGTCCGAGGAAGCACTGACAGATAGATAGTACCACACATGCTCTGCTGGCACAGCTGGCAGGAACAAGTGACCTCCTTTCAACCCACGCCCCATTTATTTAGGATTCCTGGCTGCCCTGGCCCCTCTCTGACATCATGAGCAGCTTCAGAAAGGAGGATCAGGACAGCCAAGGCTCTCCACCTGAGATGCCCCAGTGTGTCACAGGCAGGAAAGCTTTGGGGTCTGAGGGCAGTGTGGGACAGTGAGGGACACTCCTGAGATGGCCTCTCCCAGCTGGAAAATGACTCAGAGCCTCTAGGGGAGTTTGGTCATCAGGGAGCCCACTGGGTAGATTTGGGTGGCAACACTGACCTGCTAGGACACACCTTCACCCCACCGGGTCAGCTGTGAGAACTCAGGGCAGAGGGGCCCAGGAACAGGAGGGTTGCAGCTCTTATTTAAATGCAGTGGCTCTGCTCCCGTCAAGGTTTTGGGAGATGTAAGGTGGCTTCTGAAAGCTCAGGCTCCACAGCAGAGTGTCAGGAAGCAGAGTCGCAACTGAACCATACCCAGGGCTCTTGTCTTTACCCTCCTCACTCACTGTACAGAGGAGGGGGCACCTCACCTGGGGACA